GTAGCACACTTGCTTGTCATGTGTGAGGCACTGGGTTTGATTGTCAGCACTGCATAAAAGGTAAATAAAATAAAGGTCTATCAACAACTAAAAAACTATTTTAAAAATATGCAGTTTGAATTGGCTCCATACGATTGGTCCAGGTCAAATTGCCTCCAATAACCAATTTAATAAGCCATGCTATGCACCCGAGTTGGAGAAACAAAACAGCTTTTGGAAAGGATGTAAACCCAGTTTTAAGCACGGATTCACGGAGGGCCGGATGTGCCTGGTCTTTCCTGACTCCTTGAAGCTTCCTGTGTTACAAGTTCCCCACCCATCGTCTGACGGTGGAGGAGACGGAACAACACAACCTGTAGGAAGACAGCGGGGGGGGGGAACAAAAAAAAACCACTAAAATCACTGATGACCAGGGTCCTCATCCTGGGAAGATGATGAGGTCTCCGGTGGCACGTGTCTGCTACCTGAAGGGCCATCTGAACCTTCATAGGGGGCTTCACTCACCTGCCACCTCCAGGGGGATGTGACGAGCTCTCGTGACCTCCTTCTGTGTGGCCTGCGTGTCCGGGTTGCACAGAAGCTGTGCGTGGGAGGAGGGCCAAGATGCAGCTGCAGAACCTCACGTAGCTCCAGACCCGGCTCAGGGGCGACGCTCTAATGCATCTTCACCAGGCACAGGCGTCTTCTCAGGATCCACCAACCGAGGAGAATCCAACCCGAGAGAGTCTAGGAGAACGGCACAGAAAGGCTGCCCTGGCCCCCCGGGAAGGCACGCCAGTTCTCCCACCCACATGCCGCTAAATGCCAATGTCTTGAATTTGGTTCCCATCTCACTCGCCAAAGGGCCCCTCCAGACTCTAGACTTGCACCCCTGCCAGAGATTGTCAAGTACGGCTGACAGGGAACGTCCCCCCAGAAGCAGACAACACCCAGACGGCGACAGCTTCCCCAAGGTCATGGCTGCTGAGTCCCCTGCCATCCCCCAAGCCTTGCCCTCGTTCCCCCCACCCCCGCTGCCTGCTGTCTAACCCTTCCTCGTCCCTACAGGAAAACCCAGGAGAGTCTGTGGATGCCCAGAGTGACTTCCCCAGGGCTTTCAAATCTTTGCAGTCAGTCCCCAGGGCTTCCCAGCAAGCCACAGAAGTGAGTGGCTCTTTGAAGCAGCCTGCTGAGTGGTGGCCTTGGTCTTTAATTACCACTGTGTTTGGAACAAAGTCTGTGGCCAGCAGACATCGTGGAGCATCTGTGTCGCCTGAACTTTGATGCATTTGATTTTGATGAGTCGGTGGATAAGGACTCCTATCAAGCAGTGACTCAGCCTCCTGTACGGATCTCCTGAGGGGCATTACCACGGCTCCCCCCGCCCCTTGGGTCTTCTCATCTTCTCCAAGTCTTTGATGCCTGGTTGCATCCAGCTGCTCGGTGACAAAAACGCATCACTGGCTGAACCGATGCAAAACTCCAAGAAACCTGAGGACACTGTGACCCTGAATGGCACATTGAAGCCCCAAGTCCAACATGATGGTGACTGACAGTTGTGCCTTGAGTTGTGGTCACCGCGTGAGGTTGTGACCACAAGGGGGCGTTGGTAAGATCAGGCCTGCGGATGCCTCCGTGGTGAGTCCCCAC